CTGAGAAATAAGTAACTGCTTAGCCCTAAAGGAGGGAGCAATATCACTGTCTCCTAAGCTCAGAGAACTTCACATAAAAGAGGTTTTGAAAGACTGTAAGAGGGAGAGAAGGGGAAGAATGTGAGGGAAGCTGTCTTCCAGGCATTAACTCAGAGCAGCTCCAGTTGCTTGCACCAGTCTTGGGCCCGTCAACACTGCATCGTGGGTAGAAGAGGGGTTTATAGGCCCCGCCATCCTCTGAGCCCTGAGGAACTACTGGCAGTTTATGGTTGCTGAGGGAGAGGGAGACATTTTCTTCAGCAATGTAGCTACTTGTAAGTTGCTAAGTTCCTATGCACTCATAAATTCTTCCCGTTCACGCTATACTAGTTGGAAAGAAGAAAGGGGAGGGGACGCTATACTAGTTGGAAAGAAGAAGAAAGGGGAGGGGGAGAGAGGCAAGCGAAAGTAATGGGGGATATTAAATGCATTGCATACATTTAAATTGTCAAAATAAATAAAACTGTAGAAGAAAATTATAAACATTTATAAAATTAGTTCAACATCTTAAGTAGACATAAAGCCTAAATAAGGGAAATATGCTCCTTTTTCATCCATTCCATGGAAAATTCTAATTTACTGGAACCTGTGGAAAGGTTAACTTGCTTTTTGGGGAGCTAAGTTTTCTTAGAAAAGGTTCTAAAGGCAAGATCATTTTGGCAGTTCAGTCAGTTCAGACAGATATTACCATCCCACCCCAAGTGGCAGCGGGCTTTCCAAAGCTATGGAGTCACATCATACCAGTTGCAGTCTTTGTGGTAAGCCAGACAAAGCCACATGACTTAGCTCCCGACTTTGTACTCTTGTTTGGAGGGAAGAACCAGCAACAAAGCACTTTCAGTCCCACCAAAGTTATCCAAAAATAACGGATGTAGCAAGTGAGTTTGGGTGACTCAGGATGGTCACTCTCTATGCGTCTTGATTTAGACTGTGGGGCTATTTTTGGTTTTCAGAACTGGTCGGTTGTTGTCTCAGGCCAGGCTCAGCAAATTAGTCAAAGCAATGCTCTGTCATAGCATAGAAGCATGTGACAAAAATCCCTGAAGTTTTTCTGTGAAAAGGAACTGCACTCCACTGTGGTCAGACCCTGCTACAAAAGGCCTACAAAGGCCTGGCTGGTGTGTTACACTGGAGTTTTTAACTTGCACAGTGACTGTGGTTTTGGAACAATCAACAGTGAAGTCTTTGGCACTGGGTTTCACAGTAGGCTCCCTCCCACAAAGGTTACCAGCACTGTCTCTGCTCAGGCAAGCAAAGCTCTTGGCCCAGACAGTGGGACTGGAGCCAACAGGTTGCCTGCTTATCTCTGTACTCTACACACATCCACCCTGCTGGAGTCCGGGGCTGTCTGAAAGAATCAGTGCATAGGATTCAATTAGTCCATTTTCACTAATCTCTGGCAATATGAAAAAATAAATTATACACATATGTGGGACCGTCTAAAGGTCTTTTCGTTACTTCTTGTGGATGACTTACTCAGATACTCTTGTGCTTCCTATCAGGGTTTTAGTGTCAACATGTCCTTTCCTTTATTAAGAACTAGTTGGGAAGAGGTGGAAGGGAGACAAGAGAGGTAATGAGGGCAAATATTACCAAAGTGCATTATATACATGTATCAAACTGCTGTCATCAATAGAAGGATGTGTGTGACAGTATGGCTGCCTGTGTGTAGTGGCCAGAGTGGGCATCAGTGTCCCACTCTGTCACTCTCTGCCTTATTCCTTTGAGACAAGGCCTCTTACTGAAGCTGGAGCTGGGCTGGGGTCAGCAAGTCTTAGCAATCCTCCTGTCTCTGTCCCACACAGTGGGGGTGTTACAGACATGGGCATGGCCATGCTCAGCTTTTTGGATAGGAGCTGGAATCCAAATTCAGGTCCTCGTGCTCACATAGTTAGCACTATTAGTCATTGACTCGTCTCTCCAGCCCAGCACTTTTTCTTTCTTACAGGTCTTCACATGGGCAAAGTTAAAAGGTGGAACTTCAAGGCCAATCTCTAACTTTTTGCAATTTTACTGAGCTCAGACCCTTAAATCTGGAAACCCCCCACCTAAACGTTTATACTTCGGATTGGCCATTCTGGTTCCTACTTCATTACCCAAGACACAAGTTGAAGGGATACAACCCCCTCACTCTCCACCCTCCGCGGAGTCCCTTTGACAGGTAAATGTTTCACTTGAATCTCTTCAATCACATCTTTCCAAGTAGCATCACATCATTACAAACCCCAAAGAGTAGATAGAGGAGGCAGGAATAAACACTAATGATTACTACTACTATTACCAATAGAAAACAAGACCAAGTACAACACACAAGTCAGGTGTGATGTCACCACCTGTAATCTCTGCACATTTAAGGTGGAGGTGTGAGGATGGAGAGAATTCGAGGCTAGGCGAGGCTAGAAAATGAGACCCTAGCTCAAAAACAAAACTGGAGGGGAGATAACCTCCAACAACAAAATACATATTTTTATAATACAGTTTACAAATATCAACTTGTGAATAATTTGTTTTATAATAAGAACATTTTTAATACTAAATGTTTCACAAGCATAATGGTGTTTCCTTTCAAGAAATACTGATACCATAGGGCAAATGTAGAATTCCTTTTCTTCTTTTTTTAAAGACACAGTCTCATGAATTCCAGGCTGGCTTCCAACTTGATATGGAGCTAAAGATGACCTTGAATTTCTTACCCTCCTGCCTCTACCTCTCAAGTGCTGGGATCATAAGTGTGTACCACCATGCCTAGCTAATGTGGTACTGGTGCTGAGGACTGAAGCCTGAACTTCACAGTTGCCAGACAAGCAAACTGAGCTCCATCTCCAGCACTTAATTTCTATAATTAAGTCAGGGTTTAGTAATACTTCATGATACAGATTCTAAATAAGAATATGAGCACACACCATTAATCCCAGCACTCAGAGGCAGAGGCAGGCAGATCTCTTTGAGTTAAGGCCAGCCTGGTCTATAGAGTGAGTTCTAGAACAGCCAAGGCTACAACAGGAAAACCATCTTGAAAAGAAAAACAAAAAGAATTTGAAACAACTCAGTCCGTTATCAAAGGCATCAAGGAAAATGACCAGAAACAAATGGAGGGTAGTTACCTGTGTCTTAGAGAGAGAGATGTAAATAACAATGACTACCACATTGCATCCTTTTCTCCCCATGCCCCACTTTTTTTAAATTTATTTATTTATTTATTTATTTTTATTTTTTTTTTTTGGTTTTTCGAGACAGGGTTTCTCTGTGTAGCTTTGCGCCTTTCCTGGAACTCACTTGGTAGCCCAGGCTGGCCTCGAACTCACAGAGATCCGCCTGGCTCTGCCTCCCAAGTGCTGGGATTAAAGGCGTGCGCCACCACCACCCGGCCCCCACTTTTTTTTTTTTTTTTTTTTTTCGAGACAGGGTTTCTCTGTGTAGTTTTTGGTGCCTGTCCTGGAACTCACTTTGTAGCCCAGGCTAGCCTCGAACTCACAGAGATCCGCCTGGCTCTGCCTCCCAAGTGCTGGGATTAAAGGCGTGCGCCACCACCGCCCGGCCCCCACTTTTTTTTAAATGTAACCCAAGCTGGTCTCCAACTTGCTATATAGTTGAGAATGATCTTGAACTGATCCCCTGCATCCACTTCCCAAGTATTGGGAATCACACTGTGTGCCACTGTGCTATTTTCATCTGCTTTATGAAGTGTCCTTTATAATAACCTTTCACAGTGGCAAAATTACAGGGTGTGCATGAGTGTGTTTGTGTGTGACCAGCAGGCCTTGAGATCTGTCTCAGCACTGTAGTCACAGGTACACACCACCACACCCAACAATTACATGAACTTTTGGGATCTGAACTCAGGTCCTCATGCTTGCACAGCCCTTTATCTACTGAGCCATTCCCACAGCCCGACAAAATCACTTTCAACTTACAGTTGGAAAAATTGGGGTTCTGAATGGTAATTCCCCATAGTAATAACTGCCAAGCTGGAGGCTGCTGGGACAGAGGCAGCTCACCTGTACCCATGGAGCACTGTGACTCCCTCTCAATCTAAGCTCACTGGGCTAGGAAATGTGTATTTCTCCCTTCTAGTTAGTAAGGCACTGTTTTCCTATTTGTTCCTCTGGTTCACTTTATAAAAAGTTTGTAATGTCTCCATCTTCTGTCACTTTACTTTCATTTCCCGATTTGGGTTTTCTGTGGTTATTACTCTTTGCTTCATTCCTATGATGTCTTTGACCTGTGTCCCAGTTTGGGTATGTTTTCTTGTTTTGGTTCCTTATATAGTCCACGTTTAGCATTAAAAAATATTATTCTGTGTGTGAGTGCACATGAAAGCTGAAGGGCAACTTCAGTAGAGTCTATCCCTTCACAGTAGGTTGAGGATTGAACTGGTCGGTCATCATGTTTGCATAGTAAGCGCCTTAACCCACTGAGCCACTGCACCGGTCTCTCCCCACCCATTAAAAAAATAATAATAAAAACAATAACAAAACAAGAAAAACCAAAACCTCCACACTTCATGTATCTCAGTCTATTCTCAAACCGGATATGTAGCTGAGGATGACCTTGAACCCTGATCCTACTGCCTCTACCTCCAACTGTGGGAATTATAGTTATGAGACATTGTATCTGGATAGGAATTTTTTGTTCCAAGCTCTGTCACTAAAGGCTTCATAGCTGTCCCATATTTTCAAACATATAAATATCTGAAAAGTGTATCCCTCGAGATTAAATTTCAAAAATTATTTTGAGCTGAGCTGACCTGGCTTATAATTCCAACATTCTGGAGGTTGAGGCAAGAGGAACACTAGTTAAAAGGCCAACCTGGGCTACCCAGGAAGACTCAACTCAAAAAAAAAGTTGTTTTTTCCAATATAAATTCAATAGTGTATTTGTACATTTTATTGAAAAGGATTATAATGTGCCTACAATTGTTTGATAAAGAAAGTTTAGAGCCAGGCGATGGTGGCACACACCTTTAATCCCAGCACTTGGGAGGCAGGCTGAATCTCTGTGAGTTCCAGGGTAGCCTGGTCTACAAAGCAAGTTCCACGACAGCCAGGGTTGTTACACAGAGAAATCCTATCTTGAAAAAACAAAATAAAAAAAGAAATAAAGCAAGGTTAATGGCAGAAGAATGATAGAGGAATTATCTAGCTGAGTGTTCTCCACTGATTATCTTTTAGAGACTGCATATGATTTGAGAACATATAATGAAACCTGTAAGTAGAAACAATTAAATGGTTTTTTTTGTTTTTGTTTTTTTTTAAAAAAAAAAAAAAAAAAAAAAAAAAAAGGCCAGGCGGTGGTGGCGCACGCCTTTAATCCCAGCACTCGGGAGGCAGAGCCAGGCGGATCTCTGTGAGTTCGAGGCCAGCCTGGGCTACAAAGCGAGTTCCAGGAAAGGCGCAAAGCTACACAGAGAAACCCTGTCTCAAAAAAAAAAAAAAAAAAAAAAGAAATACAGAAACAATCATATTAGACTTTTTAAAAAGAAACAGGCCATTATTTTACTCAATGTGGGTTTTTTGTTGTGTTTTTGTTTTGTTAGATATCCTTCTGCCTCTAACAAGTACTGTTATCAGGAACCCACATTTTACATGGTTCAATGATCTGGCCATCAGAGCACAACACATGGAAATAAGTACTGCACTGAGCAACTAGGCACAGATTTGGTTTTAGTAGTAACTGGCCACATGATCACCAGCAAACTATCAATCTTGTGTTCCTTAGAAGTACTTCGAATGGAAGGATTAGGTGCTCTCTAAACTTTCTTCAATACTGATGGAAACCACTTTAAGCTACAAAGTGTAACATATACCCATTCTTTGTAGAAGGTCTACTTTATAATTTGTGGAGTGGAAAGCAGTGTAGAAATGGAAGATCAAATACTCTGTCTAAACATGTGTCTTAGTTAGGGTTTCTATTACTGTGGGTTCCTTTAAAAATCAAAATTAAATACCTTCTTCAAGAGGAAAGAACCAGGGCACCATCACAATCTGAACCAAGCAAAACCAAACTCCAACAGTATTAATAACTCAATGTCCCATTATATGGGATCCACTCACCATCTTCTGGGCTCCTCCAAAGGGCTTGGGTCACTTCTCCGGCTCTTCCTCTGCAGCACACACAACTTGTCTTCTAGGCTCCAGCTGGCTCCACTCTACTGCTGCTGCTGTTCTTGGTGGTCATCCCATGGTACTGGCATCTCCAAAATGCTGGGTCTTCTGCTGCAACTGGGCTGCACTTTCACCAATAGGCTCTCCTAGGCTCTCTTCATGGTGCCAAGCCTCAACTTCGCTTCATTGACCCCTTCAATCCTGGGCCTTCAACTGCCACTGAGGCTGCACCTTCACCAATAGCCTCTCATAGGCTCTCTTCATGGTGCCAACTTCTTTACATGACCCCTTCAGTCCTAGGCCTTCAACTGCCACTGAGGCTATACCTTTACCAATGGCTTCTCCTGGCCTCTCACAGTAACATGCCTCAGCTGTTCTCCATGTCTCCTTCATGCCTTCAAAACCAGGACCACCAGGGTGATGTTTACACATTACCAAGTCCAGCTGCCAGCACAAGGTATAACCATGACTACCTCTGGAACAGCTTCTCTGTGCTCTCAGGAAACACTTCCCAGAAGATTTTACCTCTTAATTGCTGCTTAATTCTTAGCTCCAGCCGACCAGCATCAGGTATCCCAGCAAAGCAAAATTTTGCCTTACTAGTTCTGGTATCTTGTTAATCACAGCTGATTCTTCAGCCCCAGTTAAGCAGAACCACAGGATCTTAATTCAAAATAACAAATGGCCCCGATAGAGTCTTTAAACTTCCCTCTGAAACTTCACAAGCCAGGCCTCCATCTTCTGTACTGCTCTTAACATTCTTATCTTCCAAGTTACACAGAATATCACAGAGCTTTTAACACTCAATGGCTCTTCTAACTCAAAGTTCCAAAGTCCTTTCACAATCCTCCCCAAAACATGGTCAGATCTGTCACAGCAATACTCCATTACACTGGTACCAATTTGTCTTAGGGTTTCTATTGCTGCAACAAAACACCATAACCAAAAAGCAAGTTGGGGAGGAAAGGGTTTATTTATTTGGCTTATGCTTCAGCATTGCTGTTCATCACTGAAGGAAGTCAGGCCAGGAACTTAAAGAGGGCAGGCTCCTGGAGACAGAAGCTGATGCAAAGGCCATGGAGGAGTGCTGCTTACTGGCTTGCTTCCCACGACATGCTCAGTCTGCTTTCTTATAGAACCGAGGACTACTAGCCCAGGAATGGCCCCACCCACCATGGGCTGGGCCCTCACCCATCAATCACTAAATGAAAAAAATGCCTTATAGCTGGATCTCATGGAGCCTCCTTCCTCTGATGACTCTAGCTAGTGTCAACTGACACACAAAATCAGCCAGTACAGCATGTAAGTTATATAAGCTGTTGTGGTCTGAATAAAAATGGCCCCCATAGACTCTTGGGGAGTGACATTGGAATAGGTGTGACCTTGCTGGAGGAAGTGTATTACTGTGGGGTTTCAGAAGCTCAAGCCAGGCCTAGTGGCTCATTTTCTCTCCCTGCTCCCTGAGAATCCAGATACAGAACTCTCAGCTACCTCTCCAGCACCAGGTCTGCCTGTGTGCCACCATGCTTCCCTCCATGACAATAATGGACTAAACCTCTGAACTGTAATCCAGCCCCAATTAAATGCTTTCCTTTATAAGAGTTGCCATGGGCCGGGCGGTGGTGGCGCACGCCTTTAATCCCAGCACTCGGGAGGCAGAGGCAGGCGTATCTTTGTGAGTTCGAGGCCAGCCTGGTCTACAGAGCGAGATCCAGGAAAGGCGCAAAGCTACACAGAGAAACCCTGTCTCAAAAAACCAAAAAAAAAAAAAAAAAAAAAAAAAAAAAAAAGAGTTGCCATGGTCATGGTGACTCTTCACAGCAATAAAAACCCTAAGATATAAGGCAACAGACTTCAAGCATGTCCTGTACCACCACTTTGACAAGCACACATGCACAATATCCAAGCTGAAAAGGTGCAAGACGCAGTTTTCACATGGCAATAAGATAATAGACTCTCCTTATCTCTGGCAATGTCTGAGTATTCCACTGGAGTGACAATGTAGGTGATACAAGTATATAATTCATAAATACTACATGACTAACTTCAAATGAAGTTACCACACTACTAAGGATTTTACATAATTTATGTCCTACTGGTAACTATAATCTCAATTAAAACTGGAATGTAATTGTATTTTAAGTAGTTTTCCCATATTCAAAATTACTAAATGAAAAATAATATGTATAATTGATGTAAGTTTTTTATTAAAAACTGAAGTATTACATTTTAATTAAAATAACACTGTTCCCAGCTGGGCAGTGGCACACACCTTTAACCCCAGTACTCAGGAGGCAGAGGCAGGTGCATCTCTGGTCTACACAGTGAGTTCTAGGACAGCCAGGGATACATAGAGAAACCCTGTCTCAAAAAACCAAAAACCAAAACCAAAACACTGTTCCCAATTCTAACTCTCAAGGTTTATCTTGTCATATAGACTCAGTATCATTCTGGGCACTTTTTGCCTATATAAAAACAAATTAAAAGGTAATATGACTTATTTAATATTATAATGTCCCTCCATTTTTCACATGCAACTATTGAGAATATCATGCACATACAGACACAGTGGAACACACATTGGAGCATAGAACAGCAGGAAAATTTTGTACACTGTTAGTACGTCCAGGATAAGGTAGATTTGTGAAAGAATCTTTTGCACTCACAGGATCTAAGAATAACAGGTTGTCTTCTAATCTAAGGGCTTCTTCCACTCAAACCCTCTCAGCTTCCAAAATTTCCTAGCAGGAGATGTGGTAAAGCACTGTCCTGACACCGGAATCAGTCAGCCACTGGCACAGTATCCAGGGTGATGACAGCATCAGATCCTGAGTGAAGGAGCCACATGATTTTAGAGTCTGTACTAAGTGCAAGTTCAGCTTTCTTATGTTTGAGGGCATTCTCAGATGAAAACGTTTTATACACCAAGGTACACACACATGTATCTGAGGATCTGGATTCACTCCAACTGCACATATCTTTGAGACAATTTAGACTCTCCCTTCTTGTGCCTGTAAGCCTTGAGTTTGTTTACATTCAGACAATGTCTTCTTATATACTTTAATACTTTTCTCACATATGAAGAAAACAATAAATTAAGTAGTGCTAAAAATACTAATTTTCTTATCTTCAAAGCTTCATGTCCTTCTCCTGAAGAAAATATACAAACTCGATTAATATTTGTTTTGTTGTTTGGTTAGTTTTAGTGAAAAAAAATTTTTTTGACTTCTCATCCCAAATAACATGAAGCTACCACTAATACTTCCTTTTAGTTTCAAAAGCCCATACCAGGCTCTGTGTCTGTCTGCTTACTGCCTACAGATCAGGGTGTAAAGCTCTCAGCTACTACTCCAGTGCCATGCCTATCTGCTTCTCATCATGATGATCATGAACTAATCCTCAAAAACTATAAGCAAGCCCCTAATAAAATTCCTTCTTTTATAAGAATTGCCTTGGTCATGGTGTCTCTTCATAGCAATAGAACAGTAACTAAAACACTCTGCAAAAAAAAAAAAAAAAAAAAAAAAAGAGCAGGAGCGGGCAAGCATGGTGACCTCTATACCTTTAAATTGAGTACTAGGGGAGCTGAGACAAAACTGCTGTAGAGTTGGAAACCTCCTTCACATACACAGCTACTAACAGGTCAGCCAGGGATATATATAAAGACTGTCAAAAAAAAGTTAAAGAAAGTGATAAAATTGGGAAAGAAACATAAGTTAGAAGTTCTTTATGGATGAGAAAGGAAACCTTGAATTACGGTGATTTTTACATTGCAGCTGTTCAAAAATCCTTGGTTACTGATTGTAGATCAGCCAGGTAGAGAGTGTGAAATGTAAAACCATTCACTCTAAGTTCACTAAAAGGGTGAAGAAATAGTGGTAGAGTTAGCATGGGAGTTATATAGAACAAGCTCTGTCCTGAAAGGGCAATTTCTGTTCCTAAGCATGTAATGAGGGAAACTGCCCAAAAATCAACAACCTAGCTACCCAGCTTAGAATCCCACCTGAGAAACAGATTCAGGAAACAAGTTCGTGTGTATTAGTGAAAGCACAATACAGAAAAAGAGGGTAGAAAAGGCTTAAGTCTTAAGACCATAGAAACAGAAAAAAATGGATTTTTACAGGTTCTAGAGCCTTCTTATTTACATGAGGTAGCAAAGGAGGTATAGGAACTAGCCTTGGTCTCAGGGCTAGTGAGGAGCATCAGTACTAGAATGAAGGCTGACTTTTTGATGCACAGGTCCTACTAGCCTCTCCTTCTGCAGAATATTTTGTGTGGTATGTCTGCATGTGTTTATCTGTGCACAGACACTCTGTCCTTATCCACTTAAGGTCTCTCATTAAATCTGGAGCTTAATTTTTCAGTTAGGCAGGCTGGCTGGCCAATGAGCTACCCACATCTTCTCCAGTTACAAGCACTCATGGCAACACCTAACTTCTCACAGGTACTGGGATCCAAACTCAGGTCCTCATGCTTGTTCAATAAGCATGCTCCTTGACTCACTAGGCCACAGCCCCAGTGAAGCAGAGTGTTTACTGCTAATTGTCTGATGTTTGCTTCATCTTATCTTCAAGCCCTCTTTGGAAAATGACTTTCTTTTCCCTTTACTGATGTATGAAATTATGTATCTTTACCTGGGAAAGTTTAACAGACATCTAAACTATAATAGAGATGTTACTTTGATAAAAGTTTTGAATATAGAAAGGGAAAATTGCACTGAAATATTTGAGGGGGTAGGGATAGCAGACCTAATTTAAGGGTATGAAACAGAAAGTCTAGGTGGAGAGAGACTTGGTCCATTTCATTACTGGTGATTGTTAGGTGGTGCAGAGCTGCTGCAGCAGCTGGAATGCTGCAAGTCTGAGGCCAGTCTGGGACATACATTCAATTCCAGGCCAGCCCATATTACACATGAAGACCACAGCTCAAAGATGCAAGAAATATAGTGGTGATAACTTTCTACAGTTACTTGCTAGTCATTAAAACTCAATAATGTACTGAGTACTTTCTTATATTTGATAAGCACTAAAAATTCAAATATGAGAAGACATAAGCTCTAACTTGAGGAACTTGGTGTGGGGGAGAAGTATAGCTAGAAAGACTGGGTGTCACATGAACCTTTATAATGAATAAGTTTTGTCTTTTTAATAGAAAACAAGTCCAAAACAAAACAAAAGACATTGTACTTGATGAGTTCTTCAAGTTTGTCTATAAAATGTTGAAAAGACGCCGGGCGGTGGTGGCGCACGCCTTTAATTCCAGCACTCGGGAGGCAGAGCCAGGCGGATCTCTATGAGTTCAAGGCCAGCCTGGACTACCAAGTGAGTTCCAGGAAAAGGCGCAAAGCTACACAGAGAAACCCTGTCTCGAAAAAAAAAAAAAAAGAAAAAAAAATGTTGAAAAGTATTCTATTTCACTGACAAAATAAACTTACATTGATAAACTGAAGTCAGCCAACCAAGGAGTGTTAATTTTCCCTGTAACTCAAGAGATATACAACAGACACAAAATTAGTTTGTGTTAGCTTGTTTTTTAGTAACAATAAGCCAAATCTGCCATCAGCTATGTTACTAGCTTCCTATTAAAGTCTGATGAGGTGCTTATTAAAATTACCTGAGCAGAGTTGGGCATAGTGGCACATGCCTTTATTCCCAACACTGAAGAGGCAGAAGCCAGCAGATCTGAGTTTGAGGCCAACCTGGTCTACACTGTGAATTCCAGAACAGTTAGGACTATATAGAGACCCTGTCTCAAAATAAATATAAAATAATTCTGTGAAGTTTAGTGGTCTTTAATATGGACCACACATGTAAATGACTGCTGTGTCTAGTGTTTTTTCTTACATAGTCTTTCCTCTGTACTGTATCTTTATTTAGTTTATCCTCTGTAAAAACCCACATTTACTCAAGACACATCAAATTATGTCCATTGGGCCCACAGGCCAGAATTCCCTCTTCCAGCATAACAAATCCCAATTTCCCTCAATTATGAACAACTATAATTCTATGCCGTGGGATGTCTTTCTGTATGCTGTGAATATGTTGCTCTGATTGATTGACAAATAAAATGCTGATTGGCCAGTAGCCAGGCAGGAAGTATAGTATAGGTAGGATAAGCAGAGAGGAGAATTCTGGGAAGTGGAAGGCTGAGTCAGGAGATGTTGCCAGCCACTGCCGCCATGGGAAGCAAGATGTGAAGGCAGAACTGGGAAAAGGTACCAAGACACGTGGCTAAACATAAATAAGAATCATGGGTTAATTTAGTGTAAGATCTAGCCAGCAAGAAGCCTGCCACGGCCATACAGTTTATAAGTAATATAAGTCTATGTGTGTTTACTTGGGTCTGAGCGGCTGCAGGAACGGGGTGGACACAGGAAAACTTCAGCTACAATTCTATTTTATACCTTAGTATGCTAAAGGTAAGAAACCCAACCATTTAAAAATAAATAGCAGCAAGACACGTCAGACACATCAGTTAACACTACAAAAACCCAGAACTGGTAAGAGAGCATGAGTACATACTGCTCTTGCAAAGGATAAGAGTTAGATTCCTTGCACCCACAGCTGCCTATAACTCTGACTCCATCTGATATTCTCTTCTGCCCTCCAGTCACCTGCACTTATATGCACACAACCCTACTCATACACAAAATTAAAAATGAATCTAAAAATATCTCAAAACCACATATTACTATTTTCCACCTTCAGGGTTCCCCCCCCCCAATATATATAGCATAATACAGAACTGGAATATACTGTTTCATTTCTGACCCATTTTATTATTAAAACTGTGGAAATGGGATTCATTGTGGCATCTCCATACATGACTATATTATGTCTACTAACCTTCTAAACTCTCCCTGTTTCCCCTTGATCCCCTTTCCAGTCCCTAATAGTACTTCTAATTTCAAGTCCTTTTCTATTTATATATAAAAGAAAACACTGTAAGTATTTCACTTACCATGTCTTCTACTACCACCATTTTAATGCATGTGATGAATCTTGCTATAGCAATAACACTGCTGTTTACATACTATATTCATCCATTTACTGACTGGCACATAGGCTGAGTCCACACCTTGGCTATGGCAAATGTCAGTAAGCAAGCACATATTCCTTTTGTATGCTGATTTCATTTTTACGATGAAAACCCAGAAATGTGATAGCTAATTGATATGATCATTCTATCCTTCATGTTTGAAGAAACCTCCTTACTATGTTCCACACTGGCTACTGGCTGTATTAATTTACTCCTAACAGTACATGCATGATAAGAGCTCCTTTTCTCCAAATTCTATCTTTAAAAAAAATTATTTCTCAACTCTAGAATGAGCAGTAATGGAATCTCATTGTAGTTTTCTTTTGCCAGATGACTAAATGACTATTTTCCCATAAAGTTATTAGCTAGTTGTATTTCTTCTTTGGTATCTATTCAGACTGTCACATCCTTTAAACTATGTGTTAATTTTATATGTTCTTTATATAATCTCCTATAAAATGAGTAGATGATAAAGACCAAGTATTACCTATTTCTCTATTACTATTCTGAAACACCATGACCAAGGCAGCTTACAAAAGAGTTTAATCGGCCCTGGTTCAACAGGGTTAGAATCCACGATGACAGAGCAAAGGCTTAGCAGCAAAACAGTTAAGAGCTCACATCTTGAACCACTAGAAAGAGGCAAAGAGCACACTGGGAATGGCAGTGTCTTCTGAAACCTCAAAGCCTACCTCCAGTACACACCTTCAACAAGGGCACACCTCCTAATCCTTCCCCAAGAGTTCCAACTGGGGACCAAGTATTCAAATATAATGAGCCTGTGGGGGCCATTTTCATTCAAATCACCACAGACCTTTGCATTCTATAGGCTGGCAGAGTGAAGACTATCTGCTTTGTTGGGCAGAACTTTTAGGTGTAATTCCAGGCATCATTTCTTGTTTTCTCTACTTTTGAAGTCTTACCTAGGAAATCAGTCTGTGCCAATATCCTGAAGTGTTTTCCTTACATCTTATTTTGGTTCCAATACAGTTTTGCTTAGATTTCCCTAGCTACTTGAAATATTTTGTGCTTACATGAATTTTGGGATGTTTTCTCCAGTTATGCAATGTTATTCTTGGTATTAAAGTCATCAGTGTTATACTGGGGCCTTAAATCTTTTTATGTCTAGTAGTGTTTTGTTTTTATAAAATTAGGTGCTGTTTGAATACTTGTCATATAAATTTACATCTTATTCTGATTTTCTTCAAGTAGCTTTGAATATAGTTTGCTTATATCTCCCTATATCTTATAAATTCAATTATTTATATTAGTAATTTTTCTTATTCCTCATTGGCATATCTTTTTCTAGTGGAACTTATTCACATTCTCAATGATAGTGCTTACTAAATTTTTTCTCCTCTGGGTATAGGATTCCCTTAGCCTCTTTTGTAAGTGTCTTCTAGTGGCCATGAATTCCCTTAATTTATCCTTATCCTGGAAGGTTCTCTTTCAACTGTGAAGGACAACTTGGCTGGGTATAATCTGGGTTGGTAGTAATGTTCATTCAGGACCTGAAATACATCAGTCCATCCCCTCCAGGCTTTCAGAGTTCTAAGGAAACTGCAGTTAGTCTGATGTATTTGCTATTACATGTTACTTGACATTTCTCTCTTGGAAACTTTATTCTGTACTTTTAACAACTTAACTATTACTTCTATGGTCGTGTGTGTTTGAGACTCCAAATGCTTCTTGTACCTAGACGTCCATGTCTTTCCAAAGATTTGGGGTGTTTTCATTATTATTTTACTGAGTTTTTTGTTTTTTTTTGTTTGTTTGTTTGTTTGGTTTTTGTTTTGTTTTTATGCCCACAACCTGTAGTTCTTCTTTCTCAGGTATGCCAATGATTCAAATATTTGAGTGTTTTGTTTTGTTTTTTGAGACAGGGTTTCTCTGTGTAGTTTTGGTGCCTGTCCTGGATCTCGCTCTGTAGACCAGGCTGGCCTCGAACTCACCGAGATCCCCCTCGCTCTGTTCCCAAGTGCTGGGATTAAAGGCGTGCACCACCCACCACATGGCATATTTGAGTTTTTTAAGAGTATCCTAAAGCTCTTGGATTTTCTCTTCATCTTTTTTTCTTTTGTTCTGTCTGACACTAACAATTCAGATGATCTGTCTTCAAGCTCTGTTTGATCTAATTTGTTATAAAGGCTCCCAGCTAATTTTTCTATTTGATCTTGAGAGCTACTTGTTTCCTCCATGATTTCTGTCCAGTTCTCTTTTAGATCCTGTGTTGCTTTTAGTTCATTTAACTGTTTGGGTTTTTTATTTTGTTTTGGTGCTTTTCATTGTTCTTTTGTTTTTTATGTTGAGAATTGTTCATTTGTTGGAATGGGTATCTTTTATGATATTACATGATAGCCTTCTTAGTGGTTCTCTCTTGATAATATGTCTTGAGAAGTATTATTCTTGGGTTTGACGCTGGTATTTCTCAAATGAAATCTTGCCTGTATTTTACTTCCAGATTCTTCATCTAAAGCACAAGTAACACCATTTCACTTCCCCACAAAACCACCTATGACTTTAAATTGCTTAAAATTCAACCTAAAATTCAGCGGAATGCTGTAGGTTTTCTCAGATTTTGATCCTATTATATCTTTCTTTAGACCTAACCCACCATAAACAGTGATCCATTAATCCAAAAATATTTATGTACTATGCATTGACAATATAGTTGGAAACAATACAAGGGGCCTGACTTTATGGTGCTTAGTGACAGAAAAGACTGAAGAGGAAAGGGAGAAGAGGAGTTAGAGGAGTTACTAGCTGCCCTTCCAGGAGACCCAGGTTCAATTCCCAGAACCCACAGAAAGCTCATGATAATCTGTAACTCCAGTTCCAGGGGAATCTCACACCGTCTTCTGGCCTCCTCAAGTACTAAGCATTTGTCATGCACATACATGCAAGCCAAACACCCACACACATAAAAATAAATAAATCCTTAAATCTGGCACTGATCATGGTGGTGAAGACCTGTAATCCTAGCACTTAGGTGGTAGAAGCAGGGTAATCAGAAGTTTGACATGCCAGCTAGATGGCTCAGCAGGTACCTGCCAAACCTGACAACCTGAGTTTGAGATACCTGAACCCACATAATGAAAGGAGAGAACCAACTCCAAGTTGTCCTTCACAAACACCATGGTATTCATGTCCCACCCCCATGCACAAATAATAATTTTAAAACAGCAAATGGCCAATTTTCTGTGGCAAGAACCCAACTACTAATAATTCCTATGTATAAATTACAGCTATGGTCTGGAGAGCTGAACAAGGTTCTATTTTTTTGCATCTAGGTCCTCACACAGACTAAGCCATATATACCTCTTTAAATTTCATTTTGAAGCAAGGTCTCATAGAGTTGCCTAACCTGGGCTTGACTTCCCATCCTCCTGCCTTAACCTCTTTGAGTACCTAGGACTGCAGGCCTGCACCACCAGACCCAGCAGCAGGCAAACATGTATGAATATGTTGGCATTCTTTACAACACTCTAGCCTGAATCAACCTATGTTAAACCCGGAGCCTTTGCTCTCTACTGCAACCTGAGTACAATATAAAAGTTTGGCAGACAAACAGAAAAAAACAAACAAAACCCCAACAAATACCTGTTTAAGAGAATGCCATGTTAAGGTTCTTATAAATCACACACATACACACACACACACACACACACACACACACACACACACACACACACACGTCAGCTCAGTTTGAGAACATGCATGATTCATCATCATTCATATCTTATCAGCTTAAAAATTCCAAAATAGGGATGGGCATGGTGATATGCATTCATTCATTTGCTTTTTTTTTTTTTTTTTAAAAAAAAAAAAGGTCATTTCTCTGTTATGCAGCCCTGGCTGTCCTGGAATTCACTCTGTAGACCATGCTGTCTTTGAACTCAGAGATCCACCTGCCTCTGCCTGCTTCATGCTGGGATTAAAGGTGTGAACCACTACACTTGGATGGTCACATGCATTTAACCCCAGAACTTGTGAGGCACAGGATTCAGGTCTGAGTTTTGAGGCCAGCCTGGTCTACTCAGTGAGTTCCAGGACAGCCAGAGCTAAATAACAAAAAGATCTTGTCTCATAAAAAGAAAAACAAACAACAACAAAAAACCTTCCAAAATCAAAAGTTTATAAAGGAAATTAAAAATGTAGCCCAAGAAAGCCAGACCAGCCAGGCATAAAATCACAGAGATGGAAGTAGAAAGATAAGGAATAAGGATAAAGGAAGACAGCAAGATGGTACAGCAGGTAAAGGTTTCTTTTTAATAATTTATTTTATGTGTATTACTGTTTTGCCAGCATGTGTATCTGTGTGAGGGTGTTGGATTCCCTGGAACTGGAGTTACAGGAAGTTGTGAGCTGCCATGTGGGTGCTGGGAATTGAACCAGGGTTCTCTAGAAGAACAGCCAGTGCTATAAACTACTGAGCCATCTCTCCAGCCCCCAGGTAAAGTCTCCTAACACCAATTTGGCCTCTGACCTCCACATGTATCCCCCTACAACAAAAGTTTTAAGTGGCCAGGCGGCGATGATGCACGCCTTTAATCCCAGCACTCGGGAGGCAGAGCCAAGCTGATCTCTGTGAATTCAAGGCCAGCCTGGTCTACAGAGAGAGATCCAGGACAGGCTCCAAAGCTACAGAGAAACCCTGTCTCGAAAAAAAAAAAAAAATTAAAGTTGGTGTCCCTGTTTGTTTGTGGAGGCAGAGAAAAAAATGGGCCAGGTAGCACAGCCCTATAATCCCTGTGAAGCCTAAACCAGGAAGATAATAATTTCAAGGCTAGCCTGTACAACTTGGAGTATCTGAAAAATAAAACTGAAATAAAATAAAAAGGCAATTCAAGGTACAATTTGGTTGTAGAATATGCAGAGGCCCTTGGTTTAATTGTCAATAGAACAGACTTTTGTGCTAGAGTCAAGAGCAATGAATGGCTCTCAACCTGTGGGTCATGACCCCTTTGTGAGGGTTGAACAACCTTTCATAGGGGTCCCATATCAGATATCCTGCACATCCACATCAGATATTTACATTACAATTCATAATTGCAAAATTACAGTTATGAATTAGCAACAAAAATAATTTTATGGTTGGGGGTCACCACAACATAAGGAACTGTATTAAAGGGTCACAGCATTAGGAAGGTTGAGAACCACTGGTCATGAGACAACTGTTGGTAGAAAGGTATGTCAAAAATACCAATATTAGATTTTAATCTTCAGGCTTTTAAACTGATTAAAGGTGGATAATTAATGGGAATAAAGTTCTAAAATGCTTGCACACCTTAACATTTTCAAATTCACAAGGGTTTTGTTTATTTTTGGAAAGCAAATGAAAAAAAAATCACACCAGACTCTCTCATTCTTGTCATAATTTCAAGGCTAATCTTCCTTTTTAAAAGTGGGGGAGATTAGAAAAACCTGAAGCACCCACCCATTAGAAAATGTTCCTATATTACCATTTATCATTCGCTTTTTATCATTAAACACTTCAAGTCTACCGATACTATAAAGGCCAACGGCCTTTTACAGCTTCTAGAGACAATCCATGTGAAACCCAAGGTTCCTTCACTAACAGAATGCAGGTCACTGGAACATGGCAAACAAGTCCACACATCAAAAGTGCAGCTCACTTTCTGCCGACAAGGCTTTCTTTCTAGAACTTCTCTCCAATGCAGAGTTGAGTGCCAACTTTACAAGATGCCTGGCATTCATTTCTTCAACACTAAACTTTTTTTTTTTTTTTTTTTTGGTTTTTCGAGACAGGGTTTCTCTGTGTAGCTTTGCGCCTTTCCTGGAACTCGCTTTGGAGACCAGGCTGGCCTCGAACTCACAGAGATCCGCCTGCCTCTGCCTCCCGAGTGCTGGGATTAAAGGCGTGCGCCACCACCGCCCGGCTAAACTTTTATCTGGTTCCCAGAAGGTCACTCCGGTACCCTGAGTCTTGGTCCCACACACTATGGCAAATCTGGAACACCAGACCCAGCCCCTCCAGTCATCCTCACACGGGAGCCGGGGAGGTGGGAGGGGGTCAGTCAATGTCCTGTCTTCGAAGTGGTGCTGGTGGAAGTAGATGTGCCAGTCATGTCTTCCCTCCCAATCTAACCACACATCGTTGGCCTGGGCACTCTGGATGTCAGAGGCATGTGTGTGTCCTGTTCTTACACACTTGCAGGAAGGTGTCATGAGTCCTGTAGAAGATGCAGCCTCGGAAGCCCCTTGGCAAGATGGCAGCTGGGCCCGGGTCTCCTCAGCTGTTCGCTCAGCCAGCCTCCAACTCAACGTTTCTCTCACTCACTAGGGTATTCACGACTTGTTATGACATCCCCAACACGACCTCAACTTGGATTTGCTAAGTTTCACCCACCAAGGAACTTTCTAGAACTCGCTTCCCTTGGAAAAAGCGTGGCCCAGCCGGGCAGCGGTGGCGCACGCCTTTAATCCCAGCACTCAGGAGGCAGAGGCAGGTGGATCTCTGTGAGTTCGAGGCCAGCCTGGTCCACAGAGCGAGACCCAGGGCAGGCACCAAAACTACACAGAGAAACCCTGTCTCAAAAAAAAAAAAAAAAAGGAAAAGCGTGGCCCACAGACCTGCAGCTCCCTGAGAGGCACTGACTCTGGGCCAGCAGCTCAGGACCCCACGGAGTCACCTCACGTGACCCGGCCCTCTCCTCAGAGGGGACCCACGGCCCACTCGACCGCCTCACCTCCCATGAACCTGGGAGCCCGCGCCCGAGCTGTGGCGACCCCGTGGAGTCACCTCCCATGACCCTGGAGACCCCGCTCAACGAGAGGACCCACGCCCGCCCGCGCCTGTCACCGCACCTCACGCGACCCCACCTCCCCCCACGACCCACCCCTGGCCCCGAGGGGACGCCGACCCAAGCCCGTCACGACCCCGCCTCAGCTCACGTGACCCTGTCCCCGCGGGGACCCCGCCGCCTCACCTCACACGACCCTGACACCTCACCGCTAAAATTAGACCGAGCGAGCCGCGCGCTCACGTGCACGCGGCCGGCCGGGGGCCAGGGCCGGACGGCGTGAGTCATCAGCCCCGCCCCCCACGGAGAACGCGCTGACGTCAGGCGCGTCCCCGAAGGGTGACGTGAGCGCGCTGCCGGGCCGCCGGGATGGAAAGTTCGAGCGTGTCCGTCTTAAAGGGGCCGCCGCTCCCGCTGTACGCTCGCGGCGCGGGTGCCCGGGGCGGCGGCTGCGGGCGGGCTGCGCCTCCGCTCGGCCTGCTGCGTACGGTGGTCGTCGCCTACGCTTTCCGAGCTGCCGCGACGCCTGTGAGCCGGAACCACGTGGCTCTCCGGGTACTCCATGCCAGGGCTTCTCCAAACCCCGCCTGCACTCAGCTAAGCACTGCCGTAGCCGTGGGGACTGGACCTGCTCAAGTCCACCGCAGTGTCTCCGTCCTTACCACCCCTCCTCGGGTGACGTCGGGGCCACCCCAAACAAGACGCATGCCCCCAGGTCACACGGCCGCTGACCGTGGCAAGCTCTCAGTCCTTCCATGGGGCTGCCTCCAGAATCCTTTTTTTTTTGGGGGGGTGCTAAAACTTCGGCTGACCCTAGGCCCACCCTGCGCATCTCCCCTGAGTTGTCTGGAACTTGAGTCCTGGGCTGGCTGGCAGCCAGGGCCAGAGCTGCCCGAGGCAGAGCCCTCCACGGTGAGCGCCAAGAACAGCTTCCTTCCGAGAGGTTGTGCTCTGGAAGGGGAGCCCAGCAGGGCAGCGGCAGGTGTTCTCTCTGGATGTTGGTCTTTCCCTAAATACCACAAGTCTGTCTCCGGCTACACATGCCAGGCACACAGAAACTCCTCTCCGTGGTCTTAGAGAAGCCGTTCCTGTCCTCAGTCTCCATGCCTGTGTGCCAGGCCCCTCCCTTCCTGACCCTCATGCTTCTGTGATTTCTGTTCCGCCCTGATGCCTGGAGTCTGTGGATGAACACCTTTGTGTCCCCAAGAGATGGAGAAAGCCCCAGATCGCCCCAGGTGCCTAGGGAGAGGCTGCAGGTCAGCCACTTGGTGTGGGTGTCTGCACCAAGCTACCTTCATGACATCCAGGGAAGGTCACAACCTGGGGTCCTGTGGCCTGTGAGGGGTAGGGAGTCCTAAGCACTACACATGGATCACACACACACACACCTCTAATCAATCTGAGGGGGATCCTAAGTCAGCACATCACAGAGACACCTGCATATCCATGCTTATTGTTGCACTATTCACAATAGCCAGATAGGAAAGCAGCCCAAATGTCAATCAGCAGGTGGTTAAAGAACATGTCTTTTATATATACAATGGAATGTAAATTATTTATTTGTTTGTTTATATGTAGGTGGGTGGGTCCGGGAGCCAGTGCTACGGTGTACCTGTGAAGATCAGAGGGTAACTTGGTCCTTTCCTTCCCCCATGTAGGTTGTAAGATTGAACTCAGGCCCTCAGGCTTGGTGACAAGCCCCTTTACCTGCTGAGCCATTTTTCTGGCTCCTACAATGGAATTTTCTAGGCAAAGAATAAAAATTGTTGTAGGACAATGGATGGAACTGGAAATCATTATGTTAAGTGACATAAGCCACACTCGGAAAAGTAGGGCATGTTTTCTGTCATATGTGGAGTCTCGATTTAAATCTGTGTATACGTGTGTGTGTGTGTGTGTGTGTGTGTGTGTGTGTGTGTGTGTGTGTGAGAGAGAGAGAGAGAGAGAGAGAGAGAGAGAGAGAGAGAGAGAGAGAGAGAGAGAGATCGATCAAAGTAGAAGGGAACTACTCTGGGGACTGGAGAATGGCTCAGCTGTTAAGAGAAGACTGTTCCTGCAGAGGACCCGAGTTCACCTCCCAGCACATCTGTCTCCTCACAGACACCACTAACACCAGGTCCAGGGGATCCAACACCTCTAGCCCCTGCAGATCCTGTACTTGTGTGTGCACATACCCACACAGAAACAAAACAGTCACATAATTTAAAATAAATCTTTAAAAGAAAAAGGGAGGAACTTGGAATGAAGGGAAGTAAAAAGAACTTGAGAAGAGAGAGTGTAATGGGGGGGGGGAGAAAGCAGAAAGAAGGAGAGGGACCAGTAAGAGGTATGGGGGGGACTGAGAGGACAGTAAGAGAGGAGAATAAGAACGAACTATAATGACTATTATGAAAATGTCACGATCACACCCAGTTCTTTGTAAGCCAACCCAAGAAAATAATTAAAAGATGGGGGAGGTGACCAGAAAACAACTTAAACTTAAAAAAAAGAAAAGATGACCCAGGTAGGACAATGGGTATAAGATGTGCCTGCAAACAGTAATAGATTGGACATGTGGCATGAACATAGACTTGGAATCACAAGAAGAACTGGAGATATGGTCATCAGGACTGCCAGCTCCCCCTCTTCCCTTCTCTTCCACCTGGCTTCCAGACAGATGACCCAGGGAGTGATTTTCCCCATGGAACGACACTATGAGGTTCACTGCTGTTTTTAAATCTGCAGTAACCAAGATCTTGTGTGTCATCGAGGGTTTTGATTTCCTGAGATCCCAGTTTTCACTCCCCACACCAGAAGCCCCATTAAATGTCAGTAAGAGCCATAAATGCAAGCCACCACTAATGCAGAAGGATTGTGATCTCCGGCAAACAGCTCCAGCAAGCAAAGAGCAGGAAGCCTTGGAGCATTCCCAACCGTGTCGGTGACTCACAAAGGACCAAGCACACTGGAGATCGGGAACAGGAGGCACACACTCTCGTTGGAGTGGGAAGTGGTCCAGGGGCTAGGAGTCAACAGCACTGCCTGGATCCCAGCACGGTGAAACTCAGAGGTCATGGCTGAGCCTGACTCCATGGTAATTCCCTAGCAATATGTGCTGGCCAGCTGTGAGCTTTGCCTACCAGAGTATTCCTATTCAAACAGAGCTCCTAAGATGGTTGGGTAGGATTAGGACACTTGTCCTTCATGACTTCCATCTCATGGGTCAGAAATGCATCCTGCTTATTCCCACCTCCCCTTTGTACCTTTACAACTACACCACCAGGAATTTATCTTAAACTTTTTATTTATATTGCAGCCTGTCCAGTCCACTAAATTACTTTAGCATTCCCATTTCTGTAAAAGTTTGTCTTAAAATGAAGGAAAAGGGGTCTGCTATAACAATAACAGCAGTTTCATGCTTATAAATGTTACACATAAAATAATAATTGTAATCTGATCATTGGTTTTTATTACATTTATTTGTGGCTATCATGTTTGTGGAGGTCAGGGGGCAACTTGTAAAAGTCAGTTTTGTCTTTCCACGATATTGATTCTGGGGACCAATCTCAGGTCGGCAGGCTTAGAGGCAAGCAAGCGCCTTAACCCTCTGAGCTACCTCGCTGTCCCAGAGAGGCTCTCAAAGGCTTCTTATTTCCAGTCAATACGTTATTCTCTGCCCACATCTATCCTCACCTTCAAACATGTATTATTGGAGGGAGGAGCCGTGAGGGTATAACTGCGCAAAAATATGTGTAAACAGTTCCCAAGTCCTCGAAGGCCTTACCAACCCTGGCCACATGTGGTGGATGATTGCCTTAGCTAGGTTTGTTTTTATCGTCAACTTGACACAACCAATGTGGAATGAGTGAACTCCATGTGAAGAGCTGCCTTAATCAGATTGACCTGTAGCCATATCCGTGAGGAACCGTCTCCACCGATGATGATTGGCGTAGGAGGGCAGACCACAGTGGGCAGCACCATGCCTAGTCACTTGGGCCAGGGCTGTATAAGAA